CCCTTCCCTGCCCTCCCCCTTCCCCCTCCCGTGCTCTCCCTGCTTCCCTCCCTTCTCCTTCTTTCTGGGCTGGGCCCTGCTCAGGTTATACGGCATCAAGTGCGCCAAATGCAGCATCGGCTTCAGCAAGAATGACTTCGTGATGCGCGCCCGCGCCAAGGTGTACCACATCGAGTGTTTTCGCTGCGTGGCCTGCAGCCGCCAGCTCATCCCCGGCGATGAATTCGCACTGCGGGAGGACGGCCTCTTCTGCCGGGCGGACCACGACGTGGTGGAGAGGGCCAGCCTGGGCGGCGGGGACCCTCTCAGCCCTCTGCATCCCGCTCGGCCGCTGCAGATGGCAGGTACCGCCCGCGCCCAGCGCCGCGGAAACCCGCGGGGTTTGGCCATGCCAGGTCCCACTCCGGACGGCGGGGAGAGCCCCATGGTCTCAGCGGGTCCCGCACCTCCTTGGAGAGCCGGGCCTGAGCGTGCGCCCCCGCGGAGAGGCGGCGGCCGAGGCGCGCCTCACGTTCGGGGCTGCAGCGAATCCAGCTGCGGCGAGAAACGCCCGGGTTCGCGGAACCCGTGAGGCGGAACACCTGCGGAGGGGCCGAGCCCCCGCCCGCCAGCCTGCCCTCCTCCTGCCCCCACCACGCACCGAGTGCGGGATTCCTCCGTCACCCTCCCCGAGCCCGGGGCAGCCCTGAGCCTGAGCCGGAGAGGGACGAGCCGCTGAGGAGAGCAGGTCTGAGCTTTCAGACCCCTTCGCTGCCTCAGGAGTTATGAGCGCTGGAGGAAGTAGGGTCTGAAAAGAGATAGACTTCATAAGTACAGGCTGGCGCTTAGGCTGTAATTTAAAACTGTCAACAAGCTAATCTTCGGTAATTGCCATTTAAAGTGACTCTTGCCTTCTTGAAACGTTTCATGTAATTTGATGAGAATTTCATCTCAAAACTCAGCCTTGTAACTTCAGAGTCGGTCCACCTTACAACTCCATTCACACTTCCAGTTCTCGACGGGTACGTCAGACACTCAGAGACCCTTAGCTTTAGGAAGGGACACTTCTCTGAGGCTAACTAGGTTGGACAATACAAGGTTGTCCGGCCTTTTTGCTATGCAAGTAACTGTAACTGGGAAAGTTGTTTGTAAATACAGCTATTCTAAAACGGGTTCATTTCCCTCTTCTGAGCTGCTTTCAGGTGACATATCTATATATAGGGAGAAATAATCCCATAACTGGTCAGAGCAGAATTCTAGAGAGACTGTGCTCCCTGTATCGTGTTTGTGCCATGTCTCCGAAAGGCTTAGTGTGTCGGCAGGTACAATACTGATAAGATTTGAAGCCTTCGTATTGTCGTCATCGCATTTGCTGATGCATTGTTACAATTAGAAAAGTCGGAACCCGACTGTACAAAAGCGAGCACTTCTGACTGTTTGCTAAACAGTTTAAGGTGACTTTTTGGATAAAAGTTTAAAGAAAAAAAAAAAAAAAAAAAAAAGGAAAAAAAATACTGTTTTTATTTTTCCCTCGGCTGGGTCAGATTACACATAATAGCTACAGCTACACAACGCACAGAAGAATAGCAGAACCACAGAAACACTTCGAGCTCTTGATGTGATGCCATCTGTAGTTTTGCATTTCTTGGCAGTTTCTACGAGTTGGTGGGCTTGCTCTCCTTTTAAAAGCACTAGATAGATATTTTTAAATTATTCATCCAAAGTATAAACAAATACACCTACCACCTCCACTTTTTAAGATAAACCCCCTCTCCCGTGCTTTGAGATACAGGGCTCTCACAGGGTTTTTTCCCATTGGCATGGTGCAGAGGATTTGGCTTGTTTTGTTCTGGTTCGAGAGCGTCAAACCGCCGGGAGCTGTTGCACGTTATCACTGCTTCTGGCTAAAATGAGCTAGATTCACTATACAAGAAGCAGACCCGAATTATGATTAATTTAAGTATTCTTTCACTAATTTTCGGGCCAAAATTCTGTTTTGGTGATTTGTCGGGAAATAAATACATAAAACTCTCCCTTTCCTAGCACACATGCACCTTAGCTAACTTGCCCTCCCCTGTCAAGTTTCGTACAGGTTCAAGCTTCTGTCATTAGGGGTTTTAGGGGGGTGGTTTGCTTTTGCAGATTAATTGTCTGTGGAGTCAGAAATGTCAGTCACTCCACCAGAGCATAAAGCAGAGGAGGCTGCAGCAGCTCCGATAGATCTGAGTGCTTGAATGGCCTTTGGAAGAGGGTTCATCACCCGCCCGCCACCTTCCCGTGTCCCACCAGCTTAGATTCATAGTCTCTGCAGACTCCCTGCTTCCTACTCATGGGGATCCTATTCCTCCCTTCCCCTTCCCTTACAGCAGAACCTATCTCTGCCAGACAGCCAGCTCTGCGGCCCCACGTCCACAAGCAGCCCGAGAAGACAACCCGGGTCCGGACTGTCCTTAATGAAAAACAGCTTCACACCTTGAGGACCTGCTACGCTGCCAACCCCAGACCTGACGCCCTCATGAAAGAGCAACTGGTAGAAATGACTGGCCTCAGCCCGAGGGTCATCAGGGTTTGGTTTCAAAACAAGCGATGCAAGGACAAAAAAAGGAGCATTATGATGAAGCAACTTCAGCAGCAGCAACCCAATGACAAAACTGTAAGTGGCTTCATCCTCTGTCCATGTCTGCCTTAATTCCCAAGGAGAAAAGCTTGGTGCATGTCCGGCCCGGACAGCCGCAGAGCTCGGTCTGATGGTGCTAATTTTTTGCGATCTCCCTGAAAACAAAGAAAGTGATACTGCTTAGCCATTACCCGTTAGTTTCTGCTGTCAGTGCAATAGAAACAGACCACGGCGAGGAGCCGATTTAGGCTGCTTAAGGGTACTTAGAATTTGTGGGGCTGAGAATACGCAGTAGTTTAGACTAACTCCTCTGCAGCATGAGTGAGACTTGCAGAGCTTATGGGATGCAATAAACCCAGTCTCGTCTAATACTTATACTGCAAATGCAAGGGGCTCCTTAAGGAGAAAATGACGCCTTTGACCTCTTCAGTGTTTTTAAACAGGAGCAAATCCATAAGTAAAAATAGTTAAAAATAAAAATAAAGTAAGAGGTGTTATCCTTAGCACTTTGTATACTACAAGTGTGTGTATTTGTCAGTGCATTCACTGCAGAAAAAGACAAATGCAAAGCAAATTTTTCAGAATAACCATAGCGTTTACAGGTTAATTTATATATAGTTATATCTGTGTAGAGCTCTTTTCTGCAGATATATGCATGGGTGATGTAAACAAACGGCATGCACTGGGTTCAGCAGAACAAGTTATCTGTTCCCATTTTAAGTAAAATTTGTTTCTTTTTTATTGTTGTTGTAAGTCTACTTGAAGAAGAGTCTGTTACTCTCCCTGTGTATATTGACTGACCCGAGAATGACTATTAATTCATAAGGCTGCCCAATTAAGTGGAATTTAAGGAGTTTCATTTTACCCTGTTGGAATGCAATAAAACACGGTGTTGTTAACTCGCCTGAACAATCTATTCGTCGAGGCTTGGAGTTATGTTGTACACTGTGCCTGCACCACGGGGCATACTGAGAGGGCTAGTTGGTTTTTTTTTTTTTTTTTTTTTTTTTGTTTTTTTTTTTGGTTGGTGGGGGGAGGTTTTTTTCGGATTTTTTTTTTCGGATTTTTTTTTTTTTTTTTGAAAGAGCGCGCTAATGACGTACCCCAGGTTTGCTGTGCACTGGATATACGATCCAGTTAAGGTCACACAAAACAAAACCAGACTGGACGCGGACTATAGAGCGGAGCAGGATTAACCGTTTCTCCTTCTGAGACGTCCACTGGCAGTCGAGATACAGAGTGCTCATGTTCAAGAGACCTTGGGGCGGAGGGGATATGCCTTGAGACGAATAGGAGGATTAAAGGGAAAGAAAGTAAACTTCCACCGTGATAAATGCAGCGAGTAGAAACAGGCTGACCTAGAGTAGAATAGACTAAGACATTCACAGCAGATTAACAAAGCAAATACAAGCGACCGTATAGATAAGATAGAAAGCAGTTTATTGACTCAGCGTTTATGCACAATAAAGCTAACCAAGCTCATTAACATCTTTTGCTGGGCTGTTTACAGAATATCCAAGGGATGACAGGAACTCCAATGGTGGCTGCTAGTCCGGAGAGACATGACGGCGGTTTGCAGGCGAACCCCGTGGAGGTGCAGAGTTACCAGCCGCCCTGGAAAGTACTGAGTGACTTCGCATTGCAGAGTGACATAGACCAACCTGCTTTTCAGCAACTAGTAAGTGTCGGCTCCCAGCCCGAGCCAACCGGTACCCGGGTCAGAGCAACAGGAGATTCACTCCAGGTGTCAGATGCTCTCGGAGAGTCAAACAATCCAGATTAGCTGGGTTTTCCAGAAATTGCAAGGCGTGCACGACTGCATCTGTAAAAGCATAGAACTGAATTGATTCCACAGAGGTTGGTGCAAAATCGATCTTAGTGTACAGCAGAGATATTTCGTAGTTGAGTGTGCGTTTGTATAAGGCCCGACTCAGGTCTGATAACAGCTCACACACTCCTGAAATCTAAAAGCACTTCACCAAAACATTGTTTATGTGTCACTTAATTGTACTTGTATCTACGAAAGCAGTGTCTAAAATTCATCCCTCCCCACTTCAGGTTGATTTTGCCTTTATGCTGTAGGATGAATTTTAAATATATGATTACAGTGTCAGCCAAGGCCCTTGTTTTGTCAGACAAATATGACGTCTTAATTAAAATTTCAAAGTCCATGTCTTAAGCATGTACTTCTATATATAACTTTACATATCTATATATATACATAATCTATACACATATGTAGCTTACATTAAGTGTTGTTCTTTAGAAAGGAAATTGCTAGTACATATGTAGGTGAAAATTTCAAACAATATAATAAACTACCTTAAGCCAAAACCAAATAGACCTTATGGAAGAAATTCTGTCCTTAACTCACTTCCTTATGCCTATGTCACTTGACAGCCCATATGGGACCATATCGCCAACAACACTTAGGCACAACAAGGTGAGTTAAGGAGAAAAGTTCAATTTTAAGCCAGTTTCCTGGCCCTAAGTCTATTAAAACCAGATATTTAAAATAATAAGGTAGATTGTGTGTAGTATTTCAGGGGTTCAGAATTACAGTTATGAAAAATTAACATGCAAATCTTTTTTTGATCTGTTGGGCTTTTTTTTTTTCCCTTTTCTTTTCTTTTTTTTTTTTTTTTTCTTTTATTTTTATTTTTACACCAAGTGAAGACAAAGGTTTGTAGTTGAATCTAGCACAGTGTTCAGACCTTTTCAGTTTAGTATCATGCTCTCCTGCAGAATCCTTTTTCTTTTGCCCAACAGCAGTCTGCAGTGTGTTCCCCTCGCTGGCACACTATGCTTGCTCAGGAAACTGTAGCACAGCAGCAGGGCTATTTGCATCCTCTTACATCTAAAGCAACCACTGCTTTTTCTGCTTTAATCAAGCTGTCCGTCAGACGTGAGAAAAAAAGTCATCTCCTTTGGTTGCTTTACTTACTGTGCCTTAACAAAATACGAGACCTTAACAATCTTTGATGCAGTGAGGCTTTGTATTAAATAGTTAAAAAAAAAAAAAAAAAAAGAAAAAAAAAAGGCACGATGGAAGACGGATAGTCCAAATACACATACACATATAGGTAAATAGACCACTAGGTAGACAAATTAATATTGATATACATTCAACATAACATGTGATACTGAAAAGAGCTAAATTAAAGAATAATTGAAAGAACAGACCATTCACTGGCCGTTCAAGACACGGCTCTAATCTGGAAAGGGCCTTAATCACTGAATTGGCCAGCTAAATAGGTGCCAAATAAATGCTTCTGGATTAACAAAGCTCCAGCCTTCAAATCATGCCTTTTCCCAGCACTACTCCTAAACTAACGGGAGCAGCGGGGCACATTAAGATGGAATAGCGTGACCTTCTTTATCAAACAGACTCCCGTTAAGGAGAGATAGCACCAGCCTCGAATCAGGAATGAAAGCGGATGGCTGGTTTCAAATGCCTTCTGCTGTTGGATGCTCCTTCCAGGTTTATTTTGGTATGTGCACAAAAGGGGGAAAAAAAAATCTTTCAGTTTCATGTCAAGAAAACACATGCACTCCTAAATAATTTACTAGAACATCCTCTTGCGATTGCCACTCTTGCAAGACAGGGAAGAAGGCCTAATTAATAGGTTTGTTTGTTTATTTACTTGATTTTTTCAGTCTTCTTTCTTCCATTTTTTTAATCTACTTTTTCTTGGTGATTTGGCCGAAGGCCTGAAGAAGGTTCCCGTGAAGTCAATGGGGAAGCTAAACAGAGCAACCAGCAATGACACAGCCTCCTGTGGAGATGTATCAGGCCTATTGGCTGCATGCCTTGTATATTTATTTTTGTGTTCTTCTTTGCCTGCTACTTTTTCTTTGAGTTTTACAGTTGTAGCAACAGTTCTTTTTCTTATTTTTCTTCTTTTTTTTCTCTCTCTCTCTTTTTTTTCCTTTTTTTTTTCTTTCTTTTTTTTTTTTTTTCTTCTTTTTTTTCTTTTTGGCAGGTTAATTTTTCAGAAGGAGGACCTGGTTCCAATTCTACTGGAAGTGAAGTAGCGTCAATGTCCTCTCAGCTGCCAGATACACCCAACAGCATGGTAGCCAGTCCTATTGAGGCATGAGGAACATTCATTCAAATATCTGTTGTTGTTGTTTCTGCCCTTACCCTCACCCCTGTTGAAGAGAGTGGGAAAGTGAACGTGTTGGGACTTCGAAATTTAGGGGGAAAGAATACTTAACAACCCTGTAAGGAACCTAGCAAGGAACTGCTCCATGAGATGAACGGAGTCATATTTGAAAAGACAAGGTAATATGGTAGCAACACTGTGAAGACAATCATGGGATCTTACTAGAAAAAAATACTTAAAAGAACCACAAACCCCGTGCTTTTCAATGATCAGAGGAGTATCGAAAAGACGTTTTCCAAATATAAAGGATTTGTACTCGTGGATCTCAAAAAAAAAAAAAAATAAAAAGAAAAAAAAAAAAAGGAAATCTTTTCATTTGACTGCACATCTTAGGGAGAAACCAAGGTAGAGGGACTTTCTATCTGGTCCCTCCCAATCGGAATGGTGCTGTTTCTATATTGGGGATAGCCTTGCCAAAAGAAGCTCCAGTAGGTTTTCCATCATCAGGAAAGAGACGATTCAGCCCTGCATTGTTGAAAGATTCCTTGCAGGAAGGTGGAGCTGCATTGGTTTGCAATGTTGTTTTTAGTTGACTCTTAACAAGGGGTTTTTCCTGGGTCTCTTCTAGCATGCCTGTAGCGGGGTTTTGATTTTGTTTGGTTGAGATCCACCCCCTATTAAGTGTAATGCGATTAAAAATAGGTTTTTGAATTCCTCTTTAAAGGCGAATTTATAAAAACATTGCAACAAGGTATACCTCTATTTTGCCACAAAGCGTCTCGGGATCGTGTTTGAAATGTGTCCGCCCAAGAACCTTCCCCTCCCCCAGAGATGTGTATAGTCATTGGTTATAACGACTGTTTTTCTCTCTTTCCTTTCTCTTTATCTCTCACTCTCTAGGGAAAAAAAAAAAAAAAGAAAAAAAAAAAGAAAAAAAAAAGAAAAAAAATAGGACAAGTAAAAAGAAAAAAAATCACTCCTTTTGTTTGCTCTTGCATTGCAAAATTATAAAGTAATTTATTATTTATTATCGGAAGACTTGCCACTTTTCATGTCAGTTGACTAATTTTTTTGTTTGCTGAAGTAAAAAAAGAAAAAAAAAAAAAAGAAAAGGTTGTACCGTGGTCTTTGAATTATATGTCTAACTCTATGTGTTTTTGTCCTTTTTCTTTCCTTAAATATGATGTGAAATAAAAGCGCCATATGTAGAATTATTATATCTTCAGGACTATTTCACTAGATAAGCGTTTGAAATAGAAATAATAATAATAATAATAATAATATTAACATAAAATAATGAACAAAGTTCCCTCTTTTAAATATTTACAGGTTAGCAGCTAAAATACCTGAAATAAAATATTGCATGCAAAGCGGTCGTTAGTGAATAAAAGGAGTGTGATATTTTATTGCAAGTATTAACGACCAGCTTGTAACTTTCCGTTTCAACAACTGTATCAGGGCTAGTTGGATGCCTTAGCTTTCAATCGATAACGTTAGAAAGTCTCTTGTTCCCCCATCCCATCCCTTGCCCTTAAAAGTGATATTACTCTAGGCATGATCAGACATAACGTTAAGACATCTAAGGAACTGAGAGCTCAGGCTTTTTGCTGAGTTCTGCTATTTTTAAAAAAATAATAAAAAGAAAGTGCTGTATACCAAAGCCTCGTTGTTGAGATTGTTGAAGTGACCTGTACTTTAAGTATAAGCTCCTGATAAAAGGGACGCTTTTTGCTTAACAAGTCAAGTATGACCATTATTTATCAATGTCTGCTGTCAAAACAATTAAATAATGCTGCAGGAGGAATAGTTGTGGGGATATTTCTGTCGGGGATATTGCTGTGAAATTGCACGAATATGTTCCTTATTTTCTGTCGACTTCCTTCTCTTCACTCCCTCTTTTCTTCCTTTTTTATTTTGCGGGGGAAAGGGTGGTGAAAGCTAGAAATGTGGGCGAATTCTTGGGGAAAAGTAGAAAGAAGTAAATAAAAAAATGGGAAAGGGTTGTTTTTGCTCCAATCCAAGTGCTCCCTAGTGCTCCCGGGCAGCACAAGACAAAGGTTCACTTTAAAACACCCTTAAGGACTGGAACATACTGAGATTTTCAGTCTGACAAAGACAAGTTGGTTTGCATGTCAGTTACTCCAAACCCCAATGTTTTCTTAACATAACCTTCTTTTCCCTCCCTCCTCACCATCTCAGCCCACTCTGAGCAAGCTCAGCTATAGACAAACCATTTCGACAGTACAGAGAACATTAAAAAATGTTAAAATCTAATACAAGGATTTCAACCATCCTGATTAGAAACTGGATTCATTTTGTATGCTCAAGTGTAATACATTTTTGAGTACTTGATAAATATTTAAATAAATATGAAATCTACCTTAAACTGTGTGATCAGTAACCCTTGTGTTTTCATGCAGGATCAGAGGATATGTACGGCGCTTCGGGGGGCGGGAGGGAGAAGGGGTATCATTTCTGCCCGGTGGTCTGACGTGTAAGTTGTTGGAGTCGCTCTTACTTGGGTGAGTTTGGAGACGGAGTCTCCGACTCGGGAGGGTCTGTAACTGGCGCTGGAAACCTGTAAGGGCAGGGCAACCTGGGGCCCTTTGCGTTGGCCTCTTCCCGCCGGGAGGCTGACGTGTAGGTGGTAGGAGCGGCGGCTCCGCGGGGTCACGCAGGGCGGGGGATGCCCCCGAGAGAGAGTAACCTGCTCTCCGAGGGGCTGCTGAGAGCTGCCCCTCTGTCCCCCGCTCCCGGGGGGGACCTTCGGGCGGCTGAATGCCCCTTGGCTCTACCACGCAGGAAGGAGACTTTGGGCTGTCGGTCCTTGCGAGGGAAGGACCCCCCAGCCCTGCTAGGCGCCCCGCGGTCCCGGCGCGCCCTCCGGGCGGCTGGGGCCGTCGTCGAGATAAGCCGCCCGCCGGGAGGTTGACTTTTGGGCTGCCAGCAGTGCCTTGCACCGTGAAACACACAGGGCAGCAGCGTGTGTCTGAAGCCGGAGCGCTGCCGCGGCTCTGCAGCTGCGGGCCCGTGGCCCACTCGGGATGTGCCTGCACACACACCCACCGCCAGGCTCCTGCCTGCACCCCGCAGAGGGCCCGAGACCCCAACCCTGTCCGGGGGTAGGAAGAATCGGGTCGCTCCTGCGGCGGCCACTCCGGGGTCTCCGCGTCCCCACGGCCACTGTGGCCCCACACACCCGCGGTCATCCTGGAACCTCCACCCTTGAAACTTTGGTTCAACAATACTCGTCTGATTTTCAGAGGTTGTGGGTTTTTTTTTTTTTTTTTGTTCCCCCCCCCCCCCCTTTTTTTTTTTTTTTTTGTTGGGTCCCCCCCCCCCCAACTTTTTTATTTTTTTCTTTTTTTTTTTCTTTCTTCTATGGCCTTTGATTCCCTTTTTCATTACATGCATTTGTGAGGCCCCACAAACTTTCGAGCGTTTTCCACCCTGAAGCGAATAAAGACAAACTTCCGAGCGGATCCTCCTAGTGCCTTCGGTAGGGCACTCCCTGAGCTTGGGCAGCAGGATTTGTGTAAGCGAGAGAAAAGATCCTCTTTCATGAAATGTATGTCCTTATGGTGCTCTGTGAGGTTTCTGCTCTGATTCCTCTTTCCTGCCTGGACCGAGAGTGATTAGCAGTCTCAGATCTGCCGGTTTAGTTCTTGCTGCGGCTATTCTTAATAGTGTCAAATAAACCCGCTATAATTTCTCTGAGGACTTCATTTGCACGCACTGAAATCAATATTCAAACTCTTCTCATTTCAATGTTTGTACCCAGGTTAATTAGCTCTCAGCATCCCCAACCAACGTGGAAGTGTGATGCAGAAGCCGGGTATGTGAATTCCAGAGTTGAGATCAGTTAAACACGTCAACAGTAAGTGTTTGCATTTATATACATCTGTATGCATACATATATTAACAAATTCACGCTGGGCTACCTAAGAACGGATGTCAGGGAAGGACTAGAGGGCCTTCAGGCGATGCCAGAGCTCAGGCCGCAGCATCCCCAGCCCCAGCACAGAGCCCGGGACGGAGCTGGGGAGGGGTCAGGGTCCTGCTGCCGAGTGGGTTTCATGGGCACTGTTCCTCCCTGGCCCTCTCTACACGCCCGAAACGCCGAAAGCGTTTCACGGTGAGAGATGCTGCTGCTGGGCGCTTTGCGTGCTTTAGCGGAGCTGTAAGTAGTTAATAAAGGGGCTGGAAAGAGATCCTGTTTACTGATTGTTCCTGATTGTTGTTTTCTTGATAACAGAGCAAGCCACTGAATGACTGTTTGAGCTCAGGCGCCACAAACATAAACTTAACAGCTCCCAGTGTGCCGGCCCTTCTGGAGGATCACTCCTCACCTCCCAGGGCTTGTGAAGTGCAGGAGGAGAAGGCAGTTCCCAAGGAAGCAGGCTCCGGTGTGGTGGTGGGGGTAGTGGGGAGCGGAGAAAACTCTCCTGTATACCCGATCTTCCCATATTGCACGGTATATGCCCTCATTAGTTAGGAGAGAAGCGTATAAAATCAATAGGTGCTTTTCTCCGAGCCTTCTACCCGTGCGGGAGCTCGAGGCAGGCTCTGGATCCTGCTCTGCTCAGCATTCCAGCCTAGAGATGCTGCTTTTATATCACGCTACACTGTCCTGTCAATTTCCTTAAATTTTCTTGCGGCTGCTAAGGGCACCAAGGAAGTGCAGTCTATAGGCTAGGGAGGGAGGACGAAGGAAACAAGGTGGGGGCACAGCCTTGCCGCGGCAGATCCGCTCCGCGGGCCGGTTCTCCTGGGATCGGCAGCACCGGGGCAGTAGCTCCAGCGGGCGCCCCGGCCTCACTCCGCCGCGGCTGCCGCTGGATGAGCCACCTGCAGCTCCGGCTCTTTTCTGGGGTGTGTGGAGCGGGGAAGAAAGGAGGGAAAGAAGGAGGAAGGCTGCAAACCAGGATTTTTTTTTTTTTTTTTCTGGAATGTCTCTTCTTCTTTTATTTTCTTCTGAAAGACAAAACAGGGGTAAGGTGTGTTTGGGAAAGAGAGAAGACAGAAAATTTTCCAGAAATAAGTGACATGGACCAAAGCAGAACTCGACTACTATCTCCGGGCAGACCTCGTGTGGCAATGGGGAGAGGAAAATAGGGTGTTACTGTGGCTTTTCTTTAGGAGGGCTGTTCAGGTCGGTAGATCTCCAAGGCTAATCCAAACAAGCCGTTTGACTTGTGAGGTCCGGTGTCTAGACATAGCTGGTGACTCGGCGGCTCCTTATCTGGTTTTGGAATCAGCCAAAAGAGACTTTTCTTAATGTCCACAGCAGCACTAGGATCTGCCGGGGCCGGGGAGCCACCGCACC